CGGCACGGGCGTAAGTACTTACTATGTAATATGTATACATATGGGTGTCACAAATGTTTTTATTACAAGTAATATTACTCTATTATCTAAGCCAGTAATGTGTGCTTATTTTGAACTTGATAATATTCAGAATTACTTGTATACATAACTTTCAATATCTACAATAATAATATCTTTGATGTATGAAAGAAATGTATGTACCTACATTAAAAGATAATTTTTGACATGTATGAAATGTAAGTACCTACATTAAAATATAATTTTTGAAATGTATGAGATGTATGAAAGAAATGTATGTACCTACATAAAAAGTTCATTTTTTAAATGTATGAAAGAAATGTATGTACCTACATTAAAATATAATTTTTGTAATGTTGCATACATTTACAATAACAATACACGTTAAACATCATACCACAGAGTCATACGCAAGTTAAAAACAAACTGCTATGATATTAATGAGAAAGGAAAATCAACTTTATGGTATTCGAGTTAGGGTCGATTTCTCTTTTTTAAATACTATTTTAATCTTGCCAGTATTCAAAGACAACTACGATTCGTACTCGATATTTTAAATTATTATGTAATCGATTTTTAGTACAAATGTAAATAACCAACGACACTAATAATGTACTACTATATTCCGTTCTTTGAAACGGAACACTCCTATAATACAAAATAATGAAAATTTACTGTTCACAACGACTCATTAAAAGCATCATCGATTAATGCGCTGTAATAAAATCCTGTTATCGATTATTCTAAAAAATCGATAATACATGTATTTATTTTTAATATGACAACACTTCATATATTATTGGAAATAGTATTACTTGCTTGTTCGGCTATTTTTAATTTACTTAAAAAATTTTTATATGTTTAATTTACAATAATGATATATTAAGTGCTTATTATTGGAAAATATAAAAAAGACATTTAATTAGGCCGATACAAATGACAACAATGCCATCTATGAAAGCATTTTGAAAACATTGAGCCCCGTATTAGCACTGATTAAATTAATTAAGTACTGGAAAATAACAAAATGAGTAAATATATGAAAATTACTTTTCTAAACGCATTATTTCATTTTAACATGTATATATAACTTTTTAAAAATTGATTAAACATTTTTGTAAACACAGTTTTGTTTTTTAAAACGTTTGCAAAACTATGAAGAATTCCATCGATACCAATCACGCCATCTATATGCAACTTTTAGCAATAATAATGGCTACTTCCTCACGGATTGCCACTGGTAAAAGTGATGATCCTACATACCGTGTTCCATTATGTTACAGCTAGGAACACGGAATAGTATAAATATGTCTCACTACCCGCGTAGATCTGTCCATCTCGTCACTCACAGAACTTTATTTATTTTATAAATATTCATCTTATTATATTCTTTTTTCTAAAATTAACTAAACATATCCTGTAAAAGAGGACGATTTAGCAAACATTATGTAATAATATTTGAATTATACAAAATTAGACGCAATAACATAAATATGAATTTAATGTGAAGAGAAAAATAAGATGTAGGTATGAAATTTAATTTTTCTATTTATAAAAGAAAGTAAACTAAAACTGTGCAATGTAAGTTATTACATGCTTAACTTTCAGAGAATTATCTCTTTATTTGTGTGTCAAAGAAATTACCTTCCGGGATGATTTTTGTAAATTAAAATATCAGATTCTTTTCTCGATTTGATAAAAATTAATGATATATTTCTTAAGTAATAATTGTGTGTATTATTATTTCATCCCTTATAATATTACTTATCTTCTCTCGCCACATTCCTTAAGGAGACTATCGCGCCATTATATACAATTCCACAAATTTTAAGAAAAAATAAACCTACATTAATACTTTTATCCGCTATCGAGTGATCTCTAAATAAGAAATATATTGTATATTATCTCCTATGAGCTACATTTTATTGTAAATGACGCTGTTACTTATTAAATATTGACTAAAATGCCTCGATGGTCTATCACACCGTCGTACTTCCAATAGTCGCACGATCCATCCCTCGCAATCATTTGTATTCATAAGTATGATTGTTTCTCTGAGTTTTTTTATGTATTTTAAGTATGTATTTACTAAAAAAACTGTATGTGACTATTTATATCAGTTCACTAGAACCTATAACAGAAACTCTGCTTAGCTTGGGACTAGATGCCGCTGTGTGAATTGTGCTGAATTATTATTATAACTGTGTGAGAAAGGGTTAAACTGTTTTGACAATGTTTAGGTACACAACCAACCTCACTTATGGTGTTCTTCAAACCCTCAGCTCACGTTAGTTCCACCTTTCCCTTACCAATCACATGTGGTCAGGCTAAATATAGCTATAGAAAATTATTATAGTCTGTCCCGCGATTCCGATATACGGGTCCCATATGTTCGCAAGATGGTGAGCATCGCTTTACCGAGCGGATTGCAGGGAAAAAATCTGACATCTTGAATTACAGGATGCACTTTTGAGTATTAGGAACATTGCATTTAATTTACTTATCTTACGATAGCATAGTATTTCGATTTGGAATCAATGGGAAAGATTTTATTCTTACAGATATATAAGCAAGCGCAAACGCCTTGAAACATCGAGATCAGAAAATCCAATGGTAATATTTTTGCTATTCGTTTTCCAATAGGCGTCAAATCCAATTGAATATATAAATCTCTAAAGAATGAAAATGGTGAATCGGTTGAATAAGTGTAGTCGTCTAAACTAATTATGTTTTGTAAAATGCTTTTGAATCTTGGCACTAAATATATATAAGGCAATGTATAAAATTACAATTGCTGTACTTATTAAATTCACAAGTACTTACACATATCTACAACATAATACAGTAATCAAATTGTTTCTGAAGATGAAATGAACTGACGACGAAATATACATTTTAAACTGTTAAGACAACTAACATAGAAATAGAAATAGGTAAAAACGTAAAATGAAAAATATTTCTATTTTATGTTACTTAATAAATTTTGAATTTATTTATGTTCTCACACAGACACGTCTTAGCCAATTTTGATGATTATTTATAACATTGAAAACTATTAAGTACATTCATATTAATAAATTACTTATACATTATTAAAGTTACTTTAATTGTGAACCAAAACTTAACAACGGTTGAAAACGATTTTTCATATCTGAAAACATATCAGAGCGTAACTAATTGATAAATGGTGTCCAAAATAAAATAAAAGATTGGAAATAGTATAGAAATCTATATAACAAAAGTCAGTTTAATTGGCCAGTTATGTCAGATAGTACAACAGTCGTAGGTCGGCACGTGCCGGAGGACAAAAGCTAAAGGGCGAACAGCTGTCGAGATAGCGTGGGCGCACGCACACATAGATGCACCTACCGCTAAGCCTGTACAGAATATAAGCTTTCTATTATCTAGCATTATAAACATAAACATATAAATTATTATTTATAATAAATGGATTGCACTATAAATTAATATTAAACTACATTAATATGAATCACGTATTAAGAACTTTGTTAGAAGAAAATAAACCTTTAAACTACTTATACAGTGCAATAAAATATTAATATTACCTTTAACATTTTAAAAAACAGGATAGTTGTTATTCTATTTTTGAAAATTAATGCGGCTTACTATATTTTTTTATTATATGGTAATAGACTTGCAAGCTAATTAAACAAAAAAAATAAAATAGAATATAACAAATATTACCCATATTATAAATAATATATATATATTGCCATTAATTTTGTGCCTCTTGGCGCTGCTCTAAATTGTTGCTATAGTTTCGAACACATTTAAAAATCCACGGATTACCTATGTATGTTATATGTTCGAATACAAGATAAAACTACAAACATAATTAATACCACAATGCTGATTACGAGTAAATATTTCTTAGATTGCTTTCTACAAATTACATTCCTACAGATAGATATATGTATAAATACAATAACAAACTGCAACACTAACAGGCAATAAACTCCAGACAAAGACTTTAACATTATATAGACAGATAGATAACAGTATTATTAGGACTATAAAAATTATTACATTTATAATATATTTTAATACCGACCAGTAAAACGTAATGTTTAAGATTTAACAGGTTTGAACCAACCCCTGCGTCTGCGCACTTTTAAAAATTTCATTCAAGCACGCGAACGGTTTTAGCCTCATTATTGCACATGTGTGCATTTGTACATATATGTATATGTGCAGGCATTTTGATTTTACAGATGTGTGCGTGTAACAAACACAAATACATTTCGATGGTTGGGTGCGCCACCCCGTGAAAATTATTGTCCTCAATACAATTTATACAACCGGGCCTCGTTCTGATTCAAAAATATTGAATTCAACTTTATATATTAATGTGTTACTTGGATATGGTTTATTAATTTATAGACAATTATACTTTATGTTCAATTTTGGTACTTATTACTACTGTTTATATATATATATTTACTTATTATAGGTACCGTACTTGAAAATTTTGGTTTAAATTTAATTATTATACTAAACCAAACAATTCAAATCAAAATATGATATCGCATATAGTATGTTATACCGTTTATCAATTTTGTCATTATACTAGATCGTACAGGTTCTTAGATAATAGAAAGATAAAGAGGCAATAAAATAATTAAGTATTTTTATAATCAAAATTATATATTTAATTTAAGCAATAGCAATATATATTATATATTTAGAATATTATGGAAAGCGATATAACATATTCATCGCACTTAGTAATTTTTTATATTAAAACAAAATCTCACTAATAAATAAATTCAGTAGTTGAAATATTACGTGAGTAGTAAATGAACAGTAACGATTCCCGATTCCGCCCCTTCGAGAGAGCATGTGTGCAACTAGTAAATGTAAAGTACCCCTGTTTATCCCCCCGCGTACCACCCCAGGTGCGTCCGCACGGCACGCGCCATTCCTGTCGCGGCCGGCGCCCGGACGCCACCTAAACTTTAGAACTTCCTAGTCCAGGAACAGTTACTTTTATCTACGTGATCCCATTATCTAAAGAATCCATAACTAATTTTATACAAACAGTTATAACATGTGATAATTGCAACTCATTCTTTCGAAATGAGCTCCATCGGCGTAGTCGTCTTCCGTAACTCAGCACTCGGGAAGCCGCAGGTGCTACAGGAATCCGTGAATAATTCAGTGAATATAACAAACAATGACGCCAACCAGAAAGTTAGACGTGAAATTATTATTGTGAGAAAAAAACCTAAAATTCAGTCTCCACCCGCAGCAATATCTGTTACTTCTTTAGTTCATGCTACTGACCTGACTTCGGCTAATAGTCTTGCAAAAAAACCAAGACTTCGGGAAAATATTATTGAAGAAACCACTAGAACACCTACACCTCTGGCTGTAGCAAGAAGAAATGCCCGGGAACGGAACAGAGTACGCCAAGTAAATGATGGGTTTGCTGCTTTACGTCGACACATACCAGATGAAGTAGCTGCTGCATTTGAAAATGCTAATTCGAATAGAGGACCTAATAAAAAGCTTAGCAAAGTGGAAACATTGCGAATGGCTGTTGAATACATTCGAAATCTAGAAAGTTTATTAAATATCGGTCATGCAGACAAAGAAAATGGAAATCGTCCATCTATGGACTCATTCCCATCCCCAGCATCTTCTTCGCCAAGAGATAATAGCCAAGAAAGAAATTATTTTTCATTAAACTCTCCGGCCCTCGAAGACGATGACATAGACGAGGATGATTTAGATGGAACATTACAACAAATACCTCAACATCAATACGTAGAGTTACCAGCACCCGAAAATTTTCAGTTAGTTTCTACTCCACATTTGTATGATGAAGAAGAAGGAGCGGGACACCCTTTGACTCCATCATCTGACATGCTTAGCCAAGAAGATATAAACTCCCATCTTTTGGAAGGACAGTTTCCCTTTCCACATTCTGCAGAGCAGTTCACAGTGATTCCTGAGCAAAATTACTTAAGTGAAGTTGACATGCCAGTGACTGATAGTGAGTTTGAAGCAAAATATACAGAATCAATCCATCAACAAATGCAACACAGCTTTAGTGATGAATCTGCGTTGTCACTAGACATTATTAATCCGGATTTAATTCTATCTCATAATCAGTATAAATTTAAAGAAGAACAGCGGGAATATATTGACGAGAATCAACAATACAATGATGTAGAATTAAAAAAGGAACTTCCAGATATTCAAGTGACTCCAGAAGATAGGGAACAATTCGAAGAAACGCTGAAATGGTGGCAAGAAAAAACAAAAGCCCGTCCGCTAACCAAATTTAAGAACTGTAATTAACGCAAATTGTGATAAACTAGAATTAATAATTAGATAAATGTAATGTTATTTATTGTAATTGTAGTAAATAATGGATACATACAGCTGTAAGTGCCAAAGTGGAGTGTTGGCGCGGGTGCAAGGTGTTCAGTAACGGTTGGTAGAATAATAAACCCTGTGCGTTTATAACGTTTTTATGTCATGTTCATGAGGTTTCAACTAGATGCAAAATGTCAGTTGATTATTGTAGCTTTTTATAAACATTTCTCTCTATATACTTTAATATAACCACTTAATTGTAAACAAAAATGCTTATTTTAACTACATATTGTACTTGTTATGTATTAATTCATAGATGAATGCCATAAAAATATGTTTAATATATAGAATGTAAATAATTTTCTTAAAAGGGCACCTATGAGCTAAATAAATTAATGTAATTAGTGAATGTAGTGCCTTAGATAATAACGATATTGTGATGTTAAATAATAATGATTTTATGACAATAAAATATTAATTTAGTAATGATCTCAATTTAATATGTTCCAATTGTATACCTGTTATACCGAAAAAGATAAGATTTATCTAACACATATTAAACGTGAATTAAAAGGCTAATAACGATTAGGGGTAACGCATTAAAATCTCCTTAATTCCATCCCCATTGAGACAAAGGATCTTATGTTAATGCAGTCAAATTATTTGACAGTGAATGACCTAGTTAAAACGCTTTGTTGTCGAAAGTTAGCCGCCGAGCTGTTACCACCGTCGGAATAATCCAACACCAAAATAACTGAAAGTTAAACGGAGTTAAAACCTAAATCACATATCGGTACAGTGTTTATTAGTAATAAATAGTGTACCAACACAATGCTTTCATCTTTAACATTAGTAAAATAACTACTATTAATACCACTATATAAATAAAATATTAATTGATTAACAATTCACTTTTAATTTCAATAATTTTATTCGTATAAAACCTTATATATTTAAACTTAATATAATAACATGCCATTCAAGATTATTTCTGAATAAACACCACATTATTTCTATTAATACTAATAATTAAATATATATAAATATTTAATTATTAGTATATTATTTTCTTATCTAAATATATAGATATTTTTTTTATACCACTTAGGTGGCGAACAAGCATACGGCCCGTCTGATGGTAAACGGTTACCGTAGCCTATGGACGCCTGAAACACCAGGGGTGTCACATACGCGTTGCCGACCCTTAAGAAACCTTAATATACCCTTCTTGAAAAACCCCATGCTGTAGTCTCTCGAGAAAACCTCGGCAGGTAGTTCATTCCACAATCTAAGTGTAGACATATATATTTCAATAATTACGAATTTTAGTAACATTAACTACAAGTTAGATGATTTTATATGTTATCTGTGGTTATACCAACCTTAACCGAAGATTGAATCCCCCGTCCTAAATGCCGGTCCGTTAACGGTAAGACGATATCGCTATTATGATTGTAATACGCCGCCGTTACCCCCGAGTGAAAAAATCAAGGGTCCACAACTAACGGGGTGATGGGATCAAGTTTTTGGCTCTGATTTAGTATTTTTTGGAGCCATTCATTTAAAAACAGTAGTTGGTGAGATGACGTTTGGAAAGTGGATGCTATTTGTAAGGGTAGTTAAAGCAGTGATTCGATACGATGCTAGTAAGAAAGTTCCAAAAAAATAATGTATGGGGTTGCATAATATATCTTTTATAGCGATTAATGAATGTATTTATTCATTAACCTTCATCATATTATTCAATAATATGAAATGTTCTGTTTTCGTAAATATCTTTTTTTTATTTGTTTGATATATTATTATAATAACTCTACTTATCTTAAATATATAATATCACATAGGTAGTCCATTCCTATTACATATCAAAATAAATTCCTACGTTAAAGAAATCCTTAATATTTTTTATTATTTATTTAACTTTATTGAATCGTACGGGCATAATACTATTAGCATTTCTACCAGCCAATCTTAGGGAGTGCAGAGATATAGATTTACATATACATAATAAAATATAAAATACATACATATAATATACATATTTATTATTATGTTCCTTTCATCACAGATACAATCTAGCTAAATAATGATTGTCTATCATATATAATATAAAAAAACCGTTATAATTTATATATTATACATAATACGTTTCAGTTAATAAATCACAACAAATTATTATACCTATTGTAAAACCAGGAAGTTCATACTACAGATGTCATTGGAGAATGCTAGCGATTCTAATGTTACTAAACTGAAATCGCCTATTTCTTGCTTCGTTCCGCACGCTCCCACATTTCCGGGGCGGTAAGAATTTTAATTTTCCTCAAATTTTTTTTTTATCAAAAATATCGTCATATTTTACGGCGTAAGCGCCTTGCACGCTATTTTGGCTTCCATTTAAATATTTTCCGCTTCATTCGTCAAGCGCTGTTTGAAACTATTAAAAATTTTGATGCACATGAAAAAGCAAGGGGTATATCCATCATAGATTAAGTAGAATTTATTCAAGTTTAATTAATCTATGAAATTAACAATACAATATTTCAAGTCACAATAATAATGTAATTTCATATTTAGGATCAAATATAATTAGCACTGAGACGGCATATGATTAAGGCTACGGTAAACATAATAAAAATAGATTACCTACTTAGTTGACAAGGTGACAAAATTAAACAATTATTGTTATTTAAACTGAGCTGAACAAATCGTAATTACCTATTATATTCTAATGACACAGAAGATAGTTGAAGATACCGCTATTTCTATGATAAGTTTATTATTCAACATAACCTTGAAATGTAAACAGGGTAGACTTATTTTTTATCTTTATTAATAGAGAATACAAAAGAAGGATAAAGGATGAAAAACTTTGGATTCAACGTTTCGCTAAACATATGTATATTGTACAAGTACCTACTCTCATGAGATAAATTTAATCAAAGACCCCACAATTTTTTTTATTAAATTTATCTCATGAGATAAATTTAATAAAAAAAATTGTGGGGTCGGTAGCAATTAATACACAAATAAAATATACCCTCAAATAATGATAAGTGCATAAGGAAGGTTACATTAATTAATAGTAGAAATTATTATTTAGAATAGCTGTATATGGCGAGTGACGGATGACGTGAGAATATTTTATAGATGAACTATGGAACGTGTCTGTCGTCTGTAAGCGACCAGTCGTCATGAAAATAATGCGAAATTATTATAATACAATTGCATATAACTCACCACAAATTCAGTGTTTTACTGATATTGACATAGGAATATATGTAGAGTGATGTTTAGTGGACTTGACAAAAACTGACATGAAACAATAAATAGTCTACAGACCACCTTAAGTGTTTGAAGTTACTGTAGCTACACTTATCTTTAAGGGTTATTAAGTACTTGTGAGAGTTTGCCATAGCCTCTTTTTAAAACTATATCGGCATCCAGATTATTACTGTACTTAAGATACCATAAGCACCACAGGCAATGGGACTTTATTGCTTTTAACTTGAAGCATTCAGAATAGCCATAATAACATTAACATGACATTCATACTGGAACTCAATAGGTAGTGCAGAATGTGCATTATTACAAGAATTTATTTTTTGATCGAGCCTGCAAATTTAATAAGGAGCAATAATATGTTTTTCTATTCTATGCTAGCACTTCATAATGACTACATAGCCCAATTACTAATGATTAATGATAAAATCCATTTACATTAATCACAGGATAATTATTTATTTTCTGACCTACCGATAGATTTCTCTGCCACTATTAAATATTCCTATTCCATAAAATGACTTTTCGCGCCTTTTTTAAAAAACATATTAATTGTTATTGTTATATTTAGAATCGCAAGAATTACATAACTGTGGTGTACGAATATCTTCGGCAGTGTCTAAATGAGGGCATTTTTAGACTAGCTCGGGTTTGATAAATACACTCGTGATATATTAACATAAATATAGATTTCTATATAAAGTCTTCCTCTTCCTCCATCTTTCAGTATTAAAAATTAATTTTAACAATAAAAATAATGACATAGATTTTATAAAAAAATATCTTGCATTTATAAATATGCATAGGTAAATGTTAAATACACATCACAATCATTAAAAGGTACCCGAATCACGTTAGCTGATGCGTGGGAATGCATATAGATCCTTACCATGACAAAACTAGGAAGCTACTCTGATCGACGCCATGAAAAAAGTCCGTTACGAACCGCTATAACTTTTGTTGTGAACGGATTATACGGCGACGGAATGCAGTTGATAGTTTATATACAAGTGTGTTATTAACTATGTAAGACTATCGTATATGTTTATTATTATTAGATTATTTTAGAGATTTTATAATTACAAATTAATATACAAAATAGAATGAAGTCTATTTTGTTGTACATAAATTAATTCTATTTTTATTTCACAGACTCACTTATACTTCATCATACCTAGAACTTAGGCAGTTTTATTTACCATAGTACTAGTATTTCTGATTATTTACGCTCACTTTTTTTTTAATCCTATAACATGTTGTATTCATATAACTGGTATGAATAATTTCCAAGTATTGAACAAATACAATATTTAAATAAAATAATTACACGAAGTATAATGTTGTGAACAAATATAAGACAGATAATAAAATTGCTACTGTTATTTTAAAGTATCTAGACATAGCGAACCGACTATAATCCAAGGTAAAGTCAAAGAAGCTACCCTATTGTTGTATAATATTTATTCTTGCGTGGATCTCCTCGGCGTCTTTCAGCGAGGTCGACCATTGTCGTAGGGTTCATGGGAACTGGCAAAAAACGGACTTTACCTTTAGGGAACATCCAAAAGCAACGAACAAAACTGAATAAGCACTTTTTCAATGCAAACTACGTTGCAAAGTCTACGATCCACGTGTTCAAAGATTAGAACTTTTGAACGTATATTTTATAATAATCTGTTGCTCTGATGCATAGACGGGAGCTTACGTTTAACTTGTGTGATCGTATCTTATGTTATTTACTTAAATAATTAACAAAGAATGGCAGTTTTTGTCATTCTCTTTTGATTATTGTGTCTAGGTAGAGATTTTATAGTTATAATTTATATACTGTGTATATTATATATACCTATACAAAATGTAAGCTGAGTGTTCTATGTATATAAATACCTAATACATAGGTTGTTTTTAATATAAATACATTTAATATTCATTTAGATCATTTTTATCAAATACATACAATATTATATCAATAGAATAATAATTGTTATTCTCCAGGAATATGTTAACATATAATACTTTTTAATTTGGAAATCATGAAAATAGTCATTTTTTAATACCCCACTTGTAAATAGGTGTCCCTATTGTATCTTTTACGGTTCTACTTCTTGCTCAACTTGTAATATACAGAGGTTTGCTAATTCTCTAGGTATTTTCGTTATTGCGTAAAGCTGGTAAATCTAATGAG